CCAGGTCCTTGGGTCCAGATGGAAGCTGCATGCAGAATGAGAATAGTAATGATTTATATACTTTGAGGTTTGCCTCTGACATCCAATCATCACTTTACAGTTGCTGAAATGTGTAGTTCATATTTATGTTTAGTAAGAGGATGTTAAAAGGTTGAACATTTAGGAAGGTTAATTGAATTATAACTTGGCCACACCCTAGGCAAGTTAATTAAATTATAACTTGGCCAAACCTTTATTGGTAATTAAAGATGAGCCTTCAAGCTGACTAATCAGACTTATGTTCGGCCAATGTTATAGCATTTTCTTGCCTAGGTTTTAAGATGTACATGTATATGTTGCATAAAATAATAGAGTTCAAGCATGTTAAATATAACCAAATTTGTACAACACTACTATCAACTTTTTATTTCTTTAAATAAAGGAGATTTTTGGCTACCAGTTTCTATATATACATTTTCATTCTCTTCCTTTCTGCTGAATGTCTTGTGTTTAATAACAATTTTAAGAAATTTCACTAGACCATCTTAATTGTTTAACATGACGCTAACATTAACAAATCTATTATTTTCAATCTATTTCTCAATCATTTCCATTCAAGATATCAGGTTTTTAAATATCTATATTGAAAATGATTTTGAATGGAGGAATAGAAATTTGTGCCATTTTTCTGATATTTCAACAACATTTTCAATTGTTTTATCAAATTTTAGCCTACTTCTTCTGGCGTAGGAAAAAAAAGTATTGAATTAAGGTTTAAAATTTCAAAATCTTTCCAAAATTCAAGTTGCAATTTTAACATCAATTTCAATCTTTTTATCATTAATACTTTCTATTTAGCCATTTTTACACTTTGTAGACTTTATTTATCTCATATTTTTTGACTCCATTATTAAAATATAGGTCTATATTATTTTTATATTAAGAATTACTACTCAGGATTGTCATTCTGTTTTTTATATTCATTTAGGAAATCACAGAAAAGATGGATGGTTCTATTCAATTTTTCTCTTTTTCATTATTAACATTTGTCAATAGTTTAAAAATACTTATTTTCTGTATTTTTACATTATCGCTCATCTCTAAAAATAATTATATTTTAAGTAAAGAAGCCAGATATAGAAGATTAAAAATTATTTTAAAAACTGGAAGTTTTATAAACCTTTTTTAAACTTTGACCATTTTATAATATTTTTTTGTGTTTTTATCTGATAGTCAATAACTTTTACTAGTCACTTCTGGCTCTGGATTCATTAGTTATTCTTGCAATCATAATGTTTCACACCTGCATTTTAAGATATAATCTTTTTTAAAAAACATTTAGCAAAACTAAATCTTTAAATTGCAATCAAAGATTATTTGAAAGAGCAAGAGGAATTTACAATAAGACACTAGATGGTGCTTGTATCCTTTTTCTGTCAAATTGTAAAAGATATAAAACTAACTCTAAAACTGAAACAAGATATGTTAAATGCATTTCAAAAGCAAAAATGGACAATATATTTTCTGTTCAGAGGTAACATTTTCCAATTGTTTTAACATGCAGTAAAACCATCCCATAAATGGAAAATCTACACTTGGAGATAATGAATACTATCGAAATAATTATATCAATAGATAAATACCTTAACTGATTGAAAGAATAGAATTAAAGATAAATTTTACAATCAATAATATTGATGCTTATCTATCTGTACTTTTATTGTAATGTAATTGGAGGAGTTACTAGCTCTTCTTAAAAATGTATTTGGTTCTCACTAAATAAAACTCTTCTACTGATTGTAAAGGTAGATTTCAAGGAGAAAATTTCAAGATAAACTTTATTATCTAAAAGATATAGATTTAAGATAAGCCTGATCCTATTTTCTACTTTCCATTTTCAGTTATTTTTAAAGTTGAAAAAGGAAAACAGTCTCTCAAAACTAAATTTATTGGACAATGGAAGTAAATTACTTTAAATTTTTTTTCTTTAAATGCATAAATAATATTAAAAATTAAATTTTTAAAAATTTTATTACATTTTACAGACAGGAAATAGAGACTATATTGTTCAAGAAAGTTGGATTAATGGTTTATGCAGTTGTTTCGATAATGTTCCTGGATGTAAACATTTTTGACATTTAAAACTTACTATGAAAAATAATAGACTTTTTTTTTATATTTTCAATTAGGCTTGGCTGGAGCATTCTGCTGTCCATGTTTTTCAATATATGTTACATGTAAAATCAATGAGGGTGCATTATGTTGTATTTCCTCTCTTCCACCAACAATATCAGCTATGAGATCCTACATTCGAGGAAAATACAATATTCCTGGAAGTTTATGTGGCGATTGCTGTACAGCTCACTTTTGCCCATGCTGTACACTTTGTCAAATAAATAACGAATGGGAAAGTAGACATAAATCTACAGGTGTTATAATTGTAAAAGAAATTCAAAGACAAATTTAAATAAAAATAAAAGATCTTTGACAAAAAGAGTTTTTTTTTGTTTTTTACTATTTAATATGTATCAGATAGAGATGAATTCTTTTCTTTTTTCTTGTAGAGAGGGTTTTTCATTAGAAAAATTTTCCAATTCTTAAAAAAATACTCTAATCGTTTTATTAAGACTCTAAAACTTTTTTTAAATTGAATGACACTTTTGAATGTCATGCTAAATTCAATTTTCCAGTCTCTTATTTGCCTTTTTTGGAGTAATATTGTAATGTATTAGCATTGTTCTTTCAAATTCAAAAATAATTATCTCCTTATCCATCAATATATAAAATCAATTATAAAAATATATATATTTTAAAAGGTTAATAGTTCATGGATGTCAATGTTCACAAAAACAAAAATTTTTTTTAGGACAAATCCAACATGTCTATCAGTTCAATCAGCACAGCGAAAGATACTACTTATCTTTATAGAATAAAGCACACCAGGGTATAGGTAGTCATTTGTGTGAACTGTCTAGTTGAGATTCGACAGATAAAAGAAGAAAGCATATAAACAAGTATTAAGGGTAAATTAACAAACATTTCATCTAACCTCTAAATTTCATCATATTCTTTAGGAAATTCAAACAATAACAACTGATCTAAAGTAATTTTCACCAACAAGGCTAGATTCTCACTGAGTGACCCTGACGACTTCAGGACATGGAAAAATCATAGTGAAAAGACTTTAGGATAACATTAAGGATCCCGATGGTCCACAATTCAAATTTGAGGAATAAATTTGAAATTCTCATTTCATTAAAGCCAAGAATGAGATATTCTATATTTTACCATCAATTCTCAACACCAATTCATTTATCTAACCCTTTTAGATGAACTAAAGAGAGAGAGCCAATTGCTTCTTGAATGTTAATCATTTATTCAAAATAATCTATGTTATTAAAAAACTAATTGTGCATAATTGGATTAAATTTTTAGCATCTGTATTTAACTTCGAGTCGAAAATGTTGTTCATTCATTTTGCCATAGATTCCGTAGTTCAAACCGAACCATTTCCTAAAGTTCAGTTTATATCTCATGTTCTTATATATGATATTTTCATTCATAGAGATACGAGAAAGAGAATTCCGTTGAGTACCTTTTACCAGAAATTTTCACCATAAAATATTTATAATTAAATTTAAATAACATATTTACCAATTTTATAATAAGTTATTCTATTCAAGTTGTCATTAAGTGTAATAGTAGGAGTTTGACTATTAGCTAAATTAACCGGAAGTTCAGTAAATTCTATAAAAGCTTCCTGTTCAAAAGAGATGATAGTATTTTAGTAGATTTATAAACTTTTAGACTAGCTAAGTAATGTACTTGTGGAGTTGTCTGTCGTGTATAAAACCTAACGTCACAACTGTAGTAATTTCGACGATTGGATGTAAAATTCATTATTGGGACAATCGATATTGTCTTGTTACATATGTCTGATCTATTCAAGTAGATTATTCCATTGCACTCTACTACAGCTTTTTAAATAGAAGATAATTCAATTACATCATTATAGATTTATATAAAACAACATTACTGTCATTGTTTTGGGTTGATTCAGTTTTTTCCAACGTATAATTCATTGTTGTTTCGTTTGTCCCAATCCAAGGAGAGATGGTTGTTCTTTCTCCAATAGCTTTAGCTATATTTCCAAATCCAGGTATATTATCAAGATTTCTCAAAATTCGTAATTTAAAACGTTTAGCAAACGGAAAAGATGTTAGAAAAATATCGATATTGATAGAGTAGGAATATTTAATTTCGTATATCTTATTTATCATAATATCCTCATTTTCAAACAGTTTTATATCGCCCAAAGAATTATTTGTACTTGAATTGTCTGATTGAATAATTATACAATTACTTTTTGGCATAGATTACTAATTTGTAAAAATAAAAAAACACCTGCAGAACAATATGTAACTTTTGAAAATCTATTTGAAATGATTAATCTATTAGAGGCACATTTCGTGTTTTTAAAGATTAACTCGTCAAATATAATGTAGACTGTACACCAATTTTTTGAATTGGATCTGCTTGAATGTTGACAAAAAGAATTATAAAAATAAATTGAACAACTATAATCATAGGATTTATAGTATGATGGATTATTGGGTGATGTAATTATATATTCATCGAATCCGTTCTCAACATTCAGGTAAGTTGAATTTTCAGTATGACAGGTTACCTTCTCTGTAAAATATTTAAAATGTACAGAAATATTCAATTGTAACATGTCTTCATTATACTGGATTTTATTTCCGGTCTTAAAGTTGAGTTTATTTCATAACTACAATCAAAATTCATTCCAATTTCAAAGCCACTGAATTCATAATTTCCATCACTTCGAAAGTATATATCTAGTGATTCATCAATATCTAAATAGTACTTCGTATTGAGATACACTCCGTTACGTATTGCTGGTGAGGACAATCTTGTTTGGTTATTGTAAGAATCTGTTGATTAATTGTAAAATGAAGAAAGATAATTATTTTAATCTACTGTTTTATATGTGAAATTTCTTAACCATTTTGCCCATAACCACAAACACGGATTTCCTTATTGTCTTGTCTAAAACCAATGTAATCATAAAGACAATCAATGCTACGTTCGACTTGAAATGATTTAAATTCCAATGATAATCTCTAAATGATAATGTGAAAATGATTTTATTAATAATAAACTTTTGACCTACTAACCCCTTTTAAACCATTTTCAAGTATGAAATGATAGTTACAAGACTCGTATGATCTGTAAGAACCATTCGATGATAATGTATAATTTCTATTATTGCAACCCAATGTGATAGTCTCTTTTGATCCATTCTGACAATACAGTAGTTGAGAATCTTCCCGATTTGCTGATGTAGTGTTTGGCATTCTAGGAGTGGTAGTTACTATTTCGTCCTCTTCTGTCTTATCGCAATCAAACCATGCTTTCATAACAAATCCTCTCTTTACAACACTTGCATCAGTAACAAAGTTTACAGTAACAGACTTGACAGTTTTTATTGAATAAGCTTTATGGAGCTGAACTGAGCGATGGATTATTCGATCATCTTCTCTAACAGAAATATCCCCTGGCAATACATTAGCTCATATCAATAGTCTTAAGAATATGAAAGTTTTTACCTCTTCCGCCTCTTCCACAGAAAGTGCGATTTACATTTTCGCTTGCAATATATAATTTATCATATTCGCAAAGATTCTGCTTTTCTACATCGAAAGATTCAAACTCAAAGAAAAATGTCTAAATTAACAAATGGAAAAACTTTAAATTCATTTATTTATAAACCAATTTAAAATGTTGTTTACCCCAATTTGTCCGCATAAAGTATTTACAATTACTGTACAGTCTTCTCCGGAAGCGTATGTATTATTAGTCGATATAAAAAGTACTCTACCGGAACAGTCAAAATTGAATGTATCTCTTGAGTGATCCTTGCATTCTATTCTCTGAATTTTATCCGAACTTTCAGTTGGCTTTTCACACTGAAATGTTGGATTTTTGAAGTTAGCTATTAGAGAGAATTCCGACTGAGTAGATTCTCCGTCAGTGATGTATCGAATAACCAATGACCCTTTTGGCTTTATTTGATAATTTTGATTCAGCATTGGTTTCTCAATATAGAATAAATTTGTTGTTATTGACCTCTGATTATCGTCCATATCTATTTTTTAAACGGATAAATGAGATGGTATCGCTACTTTTTAAGAAACTTACCATTCAGTAATCTATATTGACAGAATGTAATGGAATTACTATCGTCCGTAAATGTCAATCTATCGCTGCTACATGTTGATGTATTTTGAAAATTCATATTTTCAAATTGTAATTCTATGATCTAAATTGAAAGAGAGAGAGAGAGAGAGAGAGTCTTTATCTCATAAAAGTGAATTAAACTATAAAACAACAAACTGAATTCAAAGTTCTATCAATATTTAAAATTATTGTACATTCATACAATCCTCGAATATTTCTATTGTTTGCAGAGATAACGAATTTAGTGTTAAAATTGCTGAAATCTTGATTTATCGTCTGCTGTTTGTAACAATATACCATTTCTAAATTATGAAGAGTATATTAATAATTAAGTTTTCGTTTTGATTGAATATATTGAAAAGAATTACTTGTTGGAGAAGCTTGGTGATTTATTAACATTCCTAGATTTTTAAAAAAAGTATTTTTTACTCGAACTATTTATAAAGAGAGAATCTCACCAAATAAATCGTCAACATTTTTCGTTATCGTCCTTTGGATTGTTTGAAAACTTTTCAAGATGCACTTTGTGGAATTATCAGTTTTTTTGCTAAAATTTCCGTTTAAACGATTAGGCTGAAATATAGGAAATTTTTTTAGAAATATCATGTTAAATATTGAGGTTTTAGGCTGTTTTTTTTTACTAATATATGATAATATTCAATCTACCTTAGAAAGTAAAATGAAGCAAACGTTTAAAATTAGAAAAGTTGCCTTCATCATAAGTTTCGTAAGTTGAAATGAGAATGTCTCCAAAAGACTATCTTTTCAAACAGAATTCATATGAAAAACCTTTTATAAACAGTCCATTTCAATTGTTTAAAAAACGCCCTTTTGGTAAAAATATTGATTCCATTGAATACTAGTTTGAACGAGTGGTTTCCAAATGAATGAACAGCATTCTGCTTACTTGATACATCATACTATTTTAAGGAATGGGAAAACTGGTTTCCACTGTTACAATTAGAACTGAAAAGAACATACCTACACAAACACACAATCCTAGAATGGATACCGCTTGAATATAAAGATGGTACTGCAGTCCATAATCCGGACAAAGATGAATTTTAGCATACTCACTACTTTATATTTACATTTATAATTGTACACAAACAATTCTTACAACAAAACATGATGAATTTAGTATTAATTATGGAACTATCAACCTGTTAAAAATATTGAAAGGTAAAAAATTTCTATTTTTAACTTTTGGACCAGTTCCAACTTCACCATATTCAATGTTTGAAATGAATATTACAAAAATTGTTACATCTTATAAAAGAATCTGACATACTAAACTTATTTGAAATTTTAGTCTGCCCTCTAAAGTTCAAGTGAAGAAGATGAGAAAAATTGCATCACTCCACCTATATTGTAAATTCTTTTTAGTGCTGTTTCAGAACAATTGTTAAAAATGGCCATTTTTAGCTGCTGTCAATAAATTTTAGATGGATTTACAAATATTGTGTATTCGCATCTACCAGACAAAGTCACTCAAAACTACGTTTAGAACGTAATAAATGTCTTGATTTTCGCAATTTTTGCAATCATTACACATTACAGTTAGTTGTGTCATATTACAGTTTTCAAATGGTTGCTATACCTACGCCTATAATAATAGTTCAATAAACTAGTTAAAAGACAGAGTGAAACAAAAGAACAAGATAGTTATTGCAATGTTAGTTTTAAAGATTCCATTTGTTTGAGTACTTTGATGAGTTATTGAGAAAATTACTCTTTACAAACAAACCCTTTACAAACCCAAGCCTAATCTTAAAAGTCAATATAAGAATGAAAATATAAGTAGCTATTTTCTACTTTCGTTTTTCTATTTAATCTAGACAACTTGGATAAGACTGAAAGCACATAGGCGCTTCTTTTCACTTAGCAAATAAACACAATTTGTTGTCAATGGTTGGCTTTTTTTATTTAGGCCATTCATAGCTTTTTCTTTCACATGTTTTCACAGGGAAAAGAGAAAGCAAAAAGCTAGCAGAGAAAAAAAACCATGGATGCTGTTAGAAGACTACTATTGACCAAACATGAAACAAAGTTGCAAAAATTACTTGATAATAAAAACAATTTTTTTTTCGCTACCGACTTTCTTGTACAGGAAGGCATCTACAACTGTGAACAAGGTCAAGACAATAAGCAAAGCTATGAAGAAAGCAATGACAAAGCAAAAATAATAGATGCAACTATTAATGATATTTTCAACAATGAATTCTCCCTGACGGGACTGTTCAGTGAAATGGACAATAAACAATCACAACAGTTGGCTCAAAACTTTACCGACGAAAAGAAAGTTGAAGTTTGGGAAAATTTGATAAAACTTGTCAAAATGAGGCGAAAAGAAGAACTTTCAAATGTTCCAATCCTTCCATTGAGACAAAATAATAGACAAAAATTAGATAGTTTTAGAGTTCCATTAAAACTGTCACAGACTAAGGAAAATGTTGAAAATGAAGAAACAACAGTTGAACTTGAGGAAGAAGAGGTTTTTCAAGAAATATTTGAAAAAAAAATAAAAGAAAAGAAATGGATATTTGTGGGATGTCCTGGAGCAGGTAAGACTCTTCAAAGTCAACAAATCATCTACAACTGGTCCAACAACAAGGAGGCAGCTTATCAGTTAAAACACCAACTGCTGCTCTCTATAAATGTTAGTCGAATAGATGAGGAAGCCAACAGTCTATCTGCAGTGGTGAAAAAGCAAAATTTCAACAGCCAAATATTTGACTACATCAGAGAAGATACTGTAGAGGCATTGTTGAAAGATGATAATTCAAAGACAACTCTCTTGATAGATTTAGGTAAGGAATGTTTTTTGAAAAAGCAGTGGATATCAACACTTTTATTGCAAGAAAAATATCCAATAAGAATGATTATCTGGGTGGAAAGTTTACAAAACAATGATTTAAGAATAAATGCTGCTGGTGTATTTCAACTGTTAAAATTTAATGATCAACAAATTCAAGCATTATACACAAAAATGGTGAAACAGCAAAGTAAACAATTATGGGACTTCAACTCGAAATTAAGGCAATTGAGTGAAACTCCAAAGATTGCTATGATAATCTCGAGCCTTTGGTTAGAAAACAAGGACCTGTTTAACAAGAAGACTCCATATTCTATGTTGGATCCAATATGCAAATATGGCCAGCACTTTGAAGAGAAAGATGTTCAAAAGAATTTCTTTCAATTTTGTTTCAACAACATCATACAAGAAGATGGTAGCCCAATTCAAGAGTTTGACAAAATAGAGGAAATAGCGAAATGCTATTCAAATGTTCTATTTACAAAAGTTGATGACACTCACTCTGAGCCTAATTTGAAATTTCATTGCAACTTGTTCAAAGAGTATTTTGCAGCAAAACATTTAGAAACACAAGTTGAAAATATGAAGAAAGCAAAGGAGAGCGATAATATAATGGAAATGGAAAATATTTACGAAATCATCAATAGAACTAAGAATCCAAAGATTTATAATATAATAGCATTTCTTGCAGACTACTGTGAGAAAACCTACAACAAAATGATACTGGAACCCTGCTTTAAAGATAAGGTTTTGAAAGATAAAGATTTACAAGAATTAATTATTGGCAATGATTCTCACCAAACAGTCAGAGTGAAAAAGGAGACATTAAACGAGTATACAATAGGAATCATCTTTAAAAGGTTTCAAGAGGAAATTGAGGAATTGGAGCTGAGCGAATGTACATTTAGAGATGATTCAGATAAAATCTGCTTCTTCGAAAGGATTAGCAATTGTAAAAAATTGAAATGTTTAATCTTTGAAGAAGAGGAAATCAGGCTAAATGATCTGGAAATGAATTTTGATAAATTACTCAAATCAGTTTTGAACATGAAAAAGTTGAAAAAGCTCATTCTCAAGTCAACAACAACACCAATAAACACAAGGGAATATGATATTGAAGCAACAGCAAGTGACCCATTTTATGAAGACAAAGATTCGGCTACTTTAAGAATTACTCTATCAAATCTTGACAAAAAATATGGGTTAGGTCTTGTCATCAGTATCAAAGAAAACGAAATAGTTGGAGTAGAGTACTTTAGTATTGGAATGAACGATGAAATAACAACAGGATTTGTAGAAATGATAACAAATATTCATACTTTGGAATCAATTACATTAAATAATAAAATATTAAAAAGTGAATTTTGTAAACAATTCTTTCATCAACTGGAAAGTTTAGAAAATTTAAAAAATACTTTTATTATAAATTGTCAATTGGATGAGATAGATGAAGATTTTTTTAAGCAATGCAGCAAACATTTCTGCAATTACTACTCAATGTTTCATGAGCAGAAAAGCAATGATTCCATTCAAGACGATCTCCCTAGTAATTATAGAGCATTTTTAAATACTAATCAATCGCTTCTTCCCTCCAACAGAAATAAATCCAACACCAATAATAAGGCACTCAACGAAATATCTATTGTAATTGAGGATGAATCGCCAAGGATTCTCCTCAACTCCGATGTTCAGAATGAAATGTTTCAGATTATTCCGTTAAAAGATGAAAAACACAACAAATTCATCGAAGAAGCGATTAGAAGTGATTTTATAATGTTTGCTGAAATTCCATTCTTTTATGGAGCTTCTACTGAAGAGAAGAAGAAATTCTTTCTCAACTTTTCACAGTTCAGCAATGAAAAGAAAAAAACAATGAATTTGAACAAGGAAGACAAGGAAGAGAATGAGAAGGTTGATAATTGCAGACTATTTATGAGCTATGTCATGAAAAGTAATGCTATTCAGAGAGTTTCAATGACTAATTTCAACATTTTTGGATTTTTGGAAGAATTTGAAAAATTTATGAATATATCATTCCAGAAATTGAAATATTTCCACCTGGAAAATATTGAAATAGATAACAGAATCAGTTCAATCTTTTCAAGTTGCCTTTTCTCTTTAAAAGGTTTACAATCAATTAAACTAAAGGATGTGAAATTTATTGATAAAGCAATGCTAATTTTCTGGCAAGGCCTAAATTCAATGAAAAGTGGAATAAAAGAATTTTCAGTTGAGAATTGTTACTTGGATAAAGAGAGTTGTTTTCTCCTTAGTCAAATAATCAAGAATTTCAAACAGTTGGAATATTTGCATTTATCGCAAATTATCTGTTTGGATTCTGAATTTAACCATATTTTCAAAAAGGTAAATAAAAAATTGAAATCTGTAAATCTGTCAAAATGCAACTTAAATCGTGTTTATCAATATGAAAATCTTATCATTTTGCTGAAGAATTTAAAAAATTTATCTCAAATCGATATCTCACACAATACGCAATTTTACGGAATGTTCCGAGAGGTTATTGAGAGTTTAGAGAATTCGTCGAGTAAGTTAAAAAGCATCAATTTGAGTAGATGCAAATTAAACGAGAATAGTCTAAAAGTTGTCAGTAAATTCTTAAAGAAATGCTCCCAATTGGAAAATCTAGATTTAAGTGGAAATGTAATTAATGAGGAAGTTTGCTCTGATTTGTTTACAGCTTTATCAACTAATAAAATTATGAAAATTTTAAAGATTAACGATTGCAAACTGAAAATTGGCAAAAGTAATAAATTGAAAGAATTCCTGGCTGAATGTAAATGCTTAGAGATTTTCTGGATACATAATAATGTTGAAATTAGAGAAGAGAGAATGGCGGAAATATTTGAAGCTCTTTCACAGTCATCATCCAAGTCAACAATATTAAAGTTGAATTTTTCTAATTGTAATCTCTCTCAGAAAAGTTTGAAAGCATTTTGGGATCTTTTCAAATCTCTACCAAATGCTCAAAGTATAAATTTGAGTAGAAATGAAAATATTGGCAAGCACTTGAACATTTTCTATTCAAGTGTACAATCAAATCAGAGTAACTTACTCTACTTGGATATTTCTAGTTGTAAAATAAGGGATCTCAATACTGTTGATGATGAAAATACTAAAGAGTATCTATTGCAAGATTTAACTGCAACAAATTTTTATCACTTGGAAGGAGGACTCTTTTCAACAAAGTTTCAAAATAAAGATTTAAACTATTTCAGGAGTATTCTCCTTGAGAAAATGTCTGTACAAACTTTGGAACAGAATTTAGTTTCCAGGAAATACCAGTGTAATGATGTCATCAAGCTTAAGGAAAGCCTTTTGAAAGACATAAAGAGTGAACAGCCTGATGATTTTAACAACTTATCTCATTTTAAGAAATGCATATTGAATGAGTCGTTATTTAAGGATGAAGCTGTTAGGGAATTTAGAAATCTTCTTTTTCAAGATTTGAGAAATTGGGCTTTGAAAAATTTACATAATTTCTTTATGGCTTTCAGAAGATTGAAATACCTGAATTTGAGTAATAATGAACCTCCTATGCTTGAAATTATACCTGCAATAATTAAGTCTTGTGCTCCTTTTCTTCATTTCTTGATTTTGAGATCCTGTAAGTTGTCGTACAGAGAACATGGACAGAATTTGAGCCATCTTCTCATTTATTGCAGATCTTTACGTTACTTGGACATGAGTTCAAATGAGAACCTGTTGGAAATTTCAAATGATGATGATCAAGAGAATGACATCCAGATTATATCAAAATTGAAATTAGCAAGTCCAACACTGCAATCTTTAAAATTCAATTTGTGCAATTTCAATGAACAAAATGGCAAAGAGTTGGCAGAACTACTGAAGGTATGTCCAAATTTAAGTGAAATTGACATTGGCGGAAATCCAGCTATTACTAACAGTTTAGGTGAAATATTTGATTCATTAAGAAAATCTTCCAACTTGAAAGTTTTCAATATAAACAAATGTCCAATAACCAAACATTGTTTAGATAGCTTGAGCAAATTGTTTGATCATTGCCACTACCTTGAGGAGATCTATATAACTTTTGGTGAAAGGCAAGACAACAGCAGACCAACTGCTAGAACAACAAAGGACAAGGAGAGGGAGAAGGGGGAGGAGGATATAGAGAAGGAGATGGAGAAGGAGTTTATGGAAAAGGAGATAGAGAAGGAGAAGAAGGAGAAGGAGAAGGAGGACACAGAGAAGGAATTGGAGAAGGAGGAGAAGGAGGATATGGAAAAGGAGATAGAGAAGGAGAAGAAGGAGAAGGAGAAGGAGGACACAGAGAAGGAATTGGAGAAGGAGGAGAAGGAGGATATGGAAAAGGAGAGAGAGAAGAAGGAGAAGGAGAACAAGAACAAGAACAAGAACAAGAAAAGACTACTGTCAGATATATTTAAACATTTAAAGAATTCTTCATTGACATTGAGAGTATTTCACCTGTCAGGTTCAATTATAAAAGAGGATATAGATAATATCGTCAATTTTTTAGTCAAATGTCGAAATTTGAGTAATGTAACATTGGAAATAAATGAGGAAAGCAGATTATTAATTTTAAAGAAGATAACCGATATTATCTCATCAAATAGTGTCTATCATTCAAAATTCTTTCCTTGGCTTAACAAAGCAAAAAGTAATATGTCGAATATAGTAAAAAAGGCTAGATTGAACAATGACAATGGTCAAAATCCCAGCTTAACCAGAATTTGGCAGAATTTTGTAAACTTAACAGCTAACTGTCATAAAAATTATTTAGATGGCGTGAAATTTCTACCCAATATCGACCTAAAAACAGTTGCTCAACCAGAATACACCAAATTTTTCAACCAATTATATATGCCATTACTTTTGAAGCAAATTAAACCTTTTCAAAAAACAACCAGCAATTTAGCTGATGTTATGTTTTTGGAATCCATCAGCAATTCGGCAGTGAATAATTTCATTATTGGATCGGCTCAAATTGGCAAAACAACACTGTTCAATAGAATTCTGTATTTATGGTCGAAGGAGGAGAAACTGCAAAATCTTTTGGTATTAAGGTTAATGTTGAGTGAGATAAAAAGCCCCATATCCTTAGTTGACTGCTTGTTTGATTCAAATTATAAACATTTGAGAAACGGCATTAATAGGATAAAGGAGAATTTGAATATGCTTTTGGAATATTATCCCAAAAAGTTGTTGATTCTTATTGATGATGATGAAGAACATTCAAACTATCCGGATAGTAATCTAAGCAGAATTCTTAGAGAAGAGATGGCATGGAAAATTAGAAAGTTGATTTTCATTAGAAATTTAAGGCAACCATCAATTCCTATAGATTATATATTCACAATAAAAGGTATCAATCCCAAACACAATATGAACAGTCTTAAGGACATCTATTGTAGTTATTCTGGAAGCAATACATTTTCAGCAATCAAATACAATTATTCCATGTTGATGACTTCTTTAAAAGGCTTCAAGGAATTTTGCACTCATCCTTTGTGTTTTTTACTTGTATTTTTAACTTTATCTGAGAAGTATAATCAACATGATCCTGCCTTACAAAATGCAATTCAACAGTTTATAAAGATTTTAAATGAGAAGAAAAGGAGTCATTTCCAATGGGAAAATAACAACAACAATACAAATGATGTCCTAGTACAATACTATACAAATTTAACATCAATGAAGCTTGACAGTCTCTTATCCACTGGAATTATAAGATATAATCCACAAGCTATTTTCCCTTTAATTCATGGTTGGAATAAATTATTCATATTACCTGCAATTGAAAATTACTACCTGAGAAAATTCTTTGTCTCCAGATCATTAGATCCATCAGGTGTGCCATTGTTTAAAGCACTTTCCGAAGGGAAATTTCTGGGAAGTACCTTATCTTTAAACATTCGGAATGCAGGTGATATGAGCCTCTTCCTCTACCTATGTAAGAAATCTGTACACCAATTCAATAAAATAGTAATTAAGTATAAGGGTGACAAAAGAATCTTTTTAGCCTTACAGAAAAGGCATAAACAAGATATTAAAGTTTTAGCAATAGTCAACCTTTGTGCAAGTGAAGTGTTCTGTCCAGCCAAAAATAACAGTACAGTTTTTGGTCATTTAAAGAATGTAATTGAAAAAAGTCTGCTTCAATTTCCAAGTAACAGTAATTTATTGCTAAAAGAGATGGTGATGAATTTTACATATATGGATTTGAATTCTTACAATTTGAAATCATTTTTCACTGATACAACCAGTACATTCATCTATTGTACAGAAATTCTGTTGAGTGATGCAAGTTTGAACGAGATCACTTGCAAACATCTGCAAACATTCCTGTCTATGCAATTCTCTTTAAAAGTCTTTGATATAAGTTTCAATAGAATTGGTAATGAATGCCTTCAAAGATTCTTCCAAAGTCTCTCTCCCAGTGCACCCATTTTGGAATGTATTTTTATTCAAAGTATTGCAATTGACAATAACATTGTAAAAGCTTTCATAGACTTTTTAAATCAACTGCAAAACTTGCTAAAAGTGGATATATCAAATAATGATTTGACAAAAGAATACAAACAACAAATGATCAATTTTGCTATAGAAAAAAAGCGAAAGGGTGGAAGAAAGGTGTCGTTAGACCTCTAGATTGAACTATATGCTATATAATTGACAAAAATATGTATACTAATTTAAAAATAATACACTTTTTCAAATGAAATGATGATCATTGCCGCATTTTGTTTAGTTCTAAAAATGGAGATCCAAGAATTGACTTTTCAACTGCACAGAGAAAGGAAAGGATTTTCAAACATGAAAGATTTACTGACAATTTTCAGTTTGATAACTTTGTATAATTGTGTAGATAATAGATAATAGATATCTATTAATTATCCTCTCCTCCCCTCAACAGGACAGTCAATTCTTGTCATTAAATATTTCACCTAAAACCAGGCAGCATTTTGGGTTGAAAAATGGTTACCAGGAAAAATCATCTATTGCAGATATTCCTGCAATTACCATACCTCTGGTGTGAGTGAGTGCATTAACCAGAGGATCAGTCAGTTGGTTATTGGCAGGGAAATGGGAAAAGTCACTTTAACTGTTAAAATAATTTATCAGATGTTTTTCTTTCAATTGGATTCTTTTTTAAAACTTTGATACTTTACAAATACTTTCCAACTGTGTGCTGCAATTGAACGTTTTCCATTTCTCTTTTGATGAAATGGCAATACAATTGTACTCACTTTCAGGAACTTTGTCCCATTACCTTTGAGTTACAACTTATAGAAACAAATGCCTTTTTTATTTGTTGATTCCAATTGTTGTATTGGGAAAAATTGACTGGACTATTATCTTCCCATTTCCAAGGGGAGAAATTATTCAATCTATTTCAGCCAATTCAAACTCCAAGTGAATTAGGTACATTTATCTTTTTCAAACAATTAATAAATTCTCTTCTTGACTGTTGATTGTAGCCAAAACTACAAGAGAGGGGAAACTTTCCAGCAGAATGGGGCTAGTTGTCATACAGCAGCCAGAACAAAAGCATATCTGAAGAGAAAGGGAGTAGAAACGCTGGACCCATGGCCAGGAAACAGCCCAGACCTGAACATCATTGAGCAAATATGGGGCATATGCCAAAAATGTTTAATGGCACATCAGGCAAGAAACAAGGATGAGCTGTGGGAGATGTTCAGAGAGGAATTTTTTAAAATTCCAGAATTGGAAATTCAATTCTTATATGAGACAATTGAAAGAAGGCTTAGGGCAGTTGTGGAAGCTAAGGGTATGTACACAAAATATTAAGGCATTAACAAATATAATATCCTATTAAATAACAGTCAAAAAAAGAACAGAAAAATACTTTTAATATTCTTTTAGATTAATATTTGTGATTGCAGCAAGTACTTATGCTCCCATTGAAAATAGGCCAAACACATTAAAATATCAATAGTTCAGACATTTGAAATGAAAAATGTATTCAGACCTACCTGGTGTTGTTTGCATCGAGGTACATTTAGTTGTACCCTGTGGAATAGTAATATCTATGAAATACTGTTTAATAGTGAATAAAATCTAAAACTTAAAATAAAAGCATGATTGACATTTAATTGAACTAATTTTAATTGACTTAATAAATCTATATATTAATCATATTAAAGTTAAGTTGCAGATAGCAATATTTGTTTATAAATTAATAAAAAATTACAGGTAAACACTGCTTATCACTCTAAGTGCAATCAACATGGTAAAGAACTGGTCCAATATTACTTATCTATTGTAAAATAGACCTGATAAGTGTATGTGTACAGTAATTAATGTTCATTTGTTGTAACTATAGCTATTGTTAACACATCAAGTGGACAAGTAAACTGCATTTTCTTGAGAATTATGACAGATGTAAGAATTTTGTAATTTATTTCATTACAATAAGTGATATAGTTTTTTGTAAATTACATTAAACAGTTTATTTAGAGTAGATGTTTAGGCAATTGTAGAACAGAGATTTCTCTTTCAACAAGCAGTTCAAGTCTTGTCTTGCAATTCAATTTTATCTATAAATAAAATTTATAATTTCTATGAAATAACACTTTTTCTAAACTTCCACCATTATAATTTCCGCGAAATAAGTCATTCTATAGTTCTATAATATCTAAAGTAAAAATTTTATTTGTTTAGCTACGTCATTGTCTATGGCTTTGTAAAATTTTTAAATATTTATTTTGTATTCAAATTTACAGATACAAATTTTTGTGAAAAAGAATGGTAATTAGTTGAAAAAAAACTGAATAAATGCTCCAACATTGTAGTAAGGAGGATGAATACTTAACCTATCTTTTTCACACATTTTAGTAATATTATTATCAAAATTGATTTGAATCACTTAAGTTAAGAGTTTTAGAATATAAAAACATAAATCATATAATTGTAATATAGTATTAAAATCTCTTGAGCATGGAAAATATATCCTATGAAAGGGAAGTTGGATCATATTTCTTATCAATATCATTTGAAGATATTATTTCAATAACTGGGTGTATTTTTTCATTTAAATCATTCTTCATTTCATCATTTTTCTCCTTTTGGTGTGAATCAGTTGCCTTTAATTTACTAAAGAAAACATTCTCTAATTTTGCAAATGGCAATTCAATTGTTAATGTAAAGACAACAGCAAGAGCGAGAGAGTAGGTCATTGTTGCCAAAAATTCAGATATCTAAGATGCAAATTATTTTGAATGTTATAATGAAAATGGGTAGAATATTTCTTATACTTACAACAGCCACATGTCTAAAACTTTTTTTGTATCGTGCAGTATAAAACAAATATGAAATTACACACCAATGTAATAAATATACTCCATAACTCAATTTACTAATTATAAAGAAATAACGAAATGATAAGAAACTATTAATAATTGATCCATAATTTGAATGACAAGACCAAATCACCCAACAAATACAAATTCCCCATGCTGGCCTATGTAGAATTTCATACAATAACCTACTAGCTTTTGTCCAAGGTTTAATTTCCGCTTCATCAAAACCTTTTCCATGAAGAATTAGATAACCAGATGCAACAACAATAAGCCACATGACCAACACAATGAGAGTAGGTAACTTTATTTTTTGTCTTTTCTGCATTAAAAATGCCAATAGACCACCAAGAGCATATGTTCCAGCCCTAGTCCATGGTTTAATATATAAGTAGGTAATAAAATTGAAATTATCCATAGTACCATCAGGTTCTCTGTTTGCAAAAAGTAAATGTATGTTTTTTTTTTAAAATCAAATTGAAAAAAAGGCCAATATTACAAACATGTATTTATTCAATAAAACTCCTTGCATAACAACATGGCAGATAACCATCAATAAAAAAAAGACTATTGTGCATAATGGACTTCTGTGGATGGTTTTATTTCATTTAATTTTTTTGCTGATTTCAAAATAAACTTATATTAAAAACTTACATAATGTAAAGAAAAAGACCAAATGCTGTAACAATGTAAAGTTGCATATCAACACTTAAATACCATGTAAAACCCATACACTTGATTTTAAAAGTAATGTTCTTATACAAAAAGTTGTTTTGTTTAAATGTGAAAATGACTTACTGTTTCAGTAATTGGAAATAGATTACTTATAAAGAGAATATTTCTCCACCAATACCTTTTACAAAGTTCAATATCATTTACAACCGAGTTAAGAGGTCCTAGCCTAATTCTTTTATAGAATGAAGCATAAAAGCATAATACAGCTGCGTATAATGGTAATATCCTCCATATTCGATGGACAAAATGGTTAATCATCTTCTTAACTGGTAGATGATTGTTAGTCTTTTTCATATTCTTCAGAAATGATCTAACAGTTAGAAAACCACTTAGAACAAAGAATGTATCAACACCAATTTGTCCATTGATTATTGATTGAAAAGTGAATGTTTTCATCATTTTAAAGAAACTTGCTATATCAGCTAGAAAGTGAATTATTGATTTGAATAATTTTTGAACAATTTGAACATAACAACTACTCAACCTACTTCCAATTGGTAAATATAAAACATATGTATGTAGTAATACCATCCATGTAACAGTAATTGCTCTCAGTCCATGAATTACCTTTAAACTATCAGTTGCAGGAGAATCTTTAAGTAATTCTTTAACATTTCTATTTAATGAAAATGGTAAAATAATCCTTAATAGAATTCCTTTTGTCCACTTTTCATTTTTTTTTCTATAAAAATCAAGGTAATTATCCAAAATTGTGGCAATTATTAAAAAAAGACCAAATATTGAGAAGAATATACTGCAAATTAGAAATAATTTTATATGATTTAAATATAATAATATAATAATTGAAATAAAGAAAAACCAACATTCCTCCAATTGATGATTTATCATCTTTAAGTGGTGTTAAAGTTTCTTCAAGAATAAATCTACCATTGCCAATGTTGGTGCAAGATTTGTCTGATATGGTAACTGAAAACAAAAAACAAATTCATCAAAATAAATAACAATAACAACAGCAAAAAACAGTTGTTAATACTCAACAATTTGGTGTATTTTCCACAAATTTCCTACATTTTGGAGCTAGACAAAATCCTATTGTAAGTGAATCAAATTTTAGGGTATCTGGTCGAAGACCTTCGAATGATAGAAGAGAATAGAAACCATTCCATTTTTCATTTACACCATTGAAGGATACATTAGCTGAAATACTTTTACATTGGTCATATTCACCGAATGATCCTTTTCGACCTAACAACGTTCCTGACAAATCTACGCCATGAGAATCTTCAACTAATTTTTTTTTGACAAAAATATTCAATATTTTAAATATGAAAAGAATTGAATGAGATTACCAACATTTGTTTGCCCATTCCTTCTCTCCTCTTACCATTTCTACCAGAATCTTTTCTCTTTCTAACCAACAATTTGATGCTAAATTTTTTAAATTTATGTCCAATGAACAATTGATAGTAGTATGAAGAATATTCTGCATCAATAATGGAGCAATTCGTAATGGGGTTAGTTTATTCCTTGAAATTTTATTTTTTTCATGACCCATTTCTTTTGAATATTGTAAATTCTGAACTGCATAGTCATTATTGTTAAATACATCTGGAATTTGTTGACAAATCGAAGAGACTGCACTAAAAATGAGAATATTTATACAAAGAATTATTGTTTTTGTATACATTCTCTCTCACTGTCCAATTGAAAGTTTCTGTCTGATTTCTGTAAACCTCTTTATATAGAATGTTTTTTATCAGTTATTTTATCAGATAAAAATTCATAATTACCCAATATGGTAATTTGAAAAAAGAAGAATTTTGTACTGAGAATCAATCAATCAAAAAGATTAAAATTGCTTAATTTATTTTGCTTCTTTTATAAAATAAAAAAAGCAAAAGAAAAAGTAATGAAAAGATGCTAATCATATGAAATCTTAAAGATTTACTCTTCTCTTCTTATTCTTTTCCGGAAAAGATTATTGTCAACAATAAAGAATTGTTTTATTATGGAATTAAATCTATTTAGAAGCTAGTACTGGTAGGTTATCTGGTAGATAACAATTTAAAAACTTTATCTTTAGCATATTTTCTAAACTTTTATAGGCCTAGAGATTATGATAAGAATGCTGGAAAGCATAGGTTTTCATTCCACATGTTGGATTGGGAGCAGGTGAAACCGTACCCACTATACTAATATAATAATTTAAGATAGATATGGTATGGATGAACAATGTAGAAAGAGTGAATGATATTGTCTTACCTTAGGTTTTTAAGATTGTAATAAAATGTTTATATTAGTAGGCATAATTGTAAAGCATTCATATTAAATTGTATGGAGTCTATTAAATTGGCCAAATTTATGATAATGTATTTACATTACGTAACAGACCTTAGCCAAATTGAATCATATCATTAGTTGTAGATATCCAAATATTGTTGGTTTCGTTACAATTGATAAAAAAATTGATCAAGAGACGAAAAGATTATCGATATAGGATTAACAATTTCAGTATCTTTCTTTGATAAAAATGATAAGAAAATTTTAAAGATGGCACAACTGCCGAAATAAAATGAAATTAGTACAATTACCACAATCATTCCATAAGTTACTCTTCATTTTGAACAATTTAAAACTAAATGATTTGAATTGATTATGAATGTAGGGTGGCAGGCTATAAACATAGATGGAATTGTTTTCTAGTTTGTAATCTCTTCCAAATGTCTCTAATAGATAAATAAATATAGAAAGTGAGCATTTTTGAAAATTCATAGACTACTTCAAATCCTTGACAAACACTTGAATTAGCCCAATCCAATATCTTTATCAGCTTGTATTTCTCTTGATTCTAGAAATAGGCCAGTGTCAATAAATTCTTTGTTATATTCAAAACATTGTTGTTTATGATTTGGTTTCAAATCTTGTAATTTGATTAAACCAGAAGTCAATTTTAGGATAACAAATATTTTTTATCTTACCTGTGCCACTTGCTTTTAATAAAGGAATTGGCGACAAACAGATAATATGAATGAAAATTAAATAGAACGTTTTCATTTTCAAAATGAAAAAGAAAGAAGCGTCTTTTCTTTGGACGAGATACTCATGTTTTGTTGATTCATTTCTACCGAAATTACATTTGCTTTTCAAATGCAGCAAAAAAACTGTTCAGAATAATAAGTTTTTAGAAAGAAAATCTGTAAAAGACAGGTCCAGAAGTGGGATGCCAAAATTGAAATACCCAAGATTGAGAGACAAATAACCGGAGCAAGCAAAAACATCCCAAAATGGACAGCTCGAGAAGTGCTGCATGATACCAGTTTACCTATTCCCCTTTCATTAATAATAGTGACAGCCATTTTGAGAAAAAATTCTCTGAATGGGAGAATAGCAGCCAAGAAATATGCCTTAAATCAAAGGCAAATTGAATGCAAAAATAACTTCTGTAATAATAGTAGAAATAAGAAGAAAACATAATTTTGGTGGTGAGCTTTCTCAAAGAACTCACATAGTTGTCTCATGGCTATTTTAAAACACTTGACAAAGTTGGTAATGAATATATAATCTACCAAAATGGAAGTGCTGAGCTTCTTTGTTCATTGAAACATTTTTAAGATTTATTATTTGAAATGATTACAATATTTATTTAAAATAACATTTCATTTTAAGAATAAAAATTGATTATTTTAAATACTAAAATCTGCTGAATTTTTCTTTTTAATCATTCATTATGATTTTGCAATCTTGATTCCAAATTTCAAAATACACAATCTAATGATTCTTTGACATCCTTTGCCTCTTGGGTTTAGTACGCATGCTCCACACTTGAAATAATAATTTCCAATGAGACGTCCTCTCTGAAAAGCAAACAAATGATAAAAAGACAACATTACAGTACAGATTTCAATACATACTTTCATTAAAGCTTCTTCAATATGTTCATCAATTGCTCTTTCCTCTACATCTTGAAATAAATTTTCATCTTCAGCCAAACCTTTTTCTTTTTCATTCAAATCACCAAATGCTGCATTTACATGAGCTTGGTAGGCTACAAATAGAACAAGTAGAGAAAATACGAAAATCTTCATTTTTCAATTTTAATGTTAGACCACTAAAGAGTCCAGGTGCAACATTAATTCTAATATAATGGCACTATTATTTTCAATTTGCTGTGAATAGTATTGGAAATTAATTAGGACAAATCTGTTAATATCATAACCATTTGGTGAGTTCTTTCAACATAAATATGATTTAATTGAACTCTGAACTATTGAAAAAGTTAATTATTATGTGAGTATTATATATCTTGTATTATTAATTGTAAATTTGTCTTTGTTAAGAGAAAATATTAAAAATGTGTGAACATTAATACTAATCAACTATTAGATTGGATAAATGTACTTTTTTGTCATGTGGTTAGTGTTTGGTAAGTACTGGTGCAAATATTAATTAATATTTCTAACAATGAACAATATTTTAAAAATCCCCCCACCATTGTTCTTTCTATATTAACAACTCTTCTCAACTCGTCATCTGAAGGAGAGCCTATGTTTTTACAAATTAAATTTCAATCCCACAGGAGAAAAGAGTTATATATTATTTTATAACATTGCGCCATATTTGTACTTTGTTGTATTGTAATTGTAGGAATTTCTGCTTCTTCAGAACAGTATTTGTCCTTTCCAATCATTTATCAATGCACCAAAGTACTCACACCATATAGAACCTTTCAAGTTCGTCCACAAATAGTCTCCAAAAGTGTAATTTCTTTAGAAATTAATCAACAAAACAACAGTATTTCGTCCAAAGAATATGTACCGAGTAAATGAGTTTCCACTCCAAAACAAGCAAGTTTAAACAATCTGCTAACAGTTAAAGAACTGAACTGACCAGCTGGGGAAATGCATTTCATTTTATAGATTTCCCAAAGTTTGGGTTCAATTGGTCAAAGGCTTGCAAAGTTGAAATCTTACAATCTTAAAATTCTCAAGTATCAAAATATGAAAGACTGTTATATCACACATATAAAGTATAATCTTTAGACAGCTTTGACATGCATCTTTTCCATGTTTTTTATTCTTTTGCGAACTCAAAAATAGCCGCCATCTGTTACAGTCAAAGAGCCTATTTCCTACGAAATAGAGTTCTTTCTAAAGTACTAAAAGCTAACTCTACTAAAAAAAGTCTTTCAAAAGTTGCACCATTCTAATTCCTACAAAATAGAAATCTTTCTAATGTACCCTTATAACTAAAGTCTAAATATTGATATTTCATTACACCTTAGTGCACATAAACCATAACAATAATGTTGATTAATTGATTATATCAACTTGCTGGCAGTGTTGGGTTATAGTTGCATAAGTGTATGTTGGATATATTGTGCAAAGAGATAAGGATTGTTGAAATTAAAAACTTTGTCCTACAAACTTTCTTAGGTAACTTGAAAAAATGTTGATGTACTTTCCTGCAATGTAGTTGTAGGTTAGTACTGGTCCAAATAGAACTGGATGAGGAGTAAGCCACTTAGAAGAGAGATATAGAATTGAGGGAAGATGAATATAGAACCAAATTGTAAGATTAATATAACTGTATTCTAAAGTAATAATAGACCTGTTCACTAAGAGGGTTCATTCAGGACTGAATGCCTATTACTACCTACGCCCTGCTTTTATACAATTCCTTATCAGTTGTTTATACCTTAGCTGTCAACAACAAGGGTCTAACCCCAGATAAGGATTGTTCACAACAAACAGGATCAAGTGTTATCATATTATGCAATAGTGATGTAAACAACAGCTTTGTATAGGTAAACCCTTAAGGGTCAATTCTTACATCATATTTATGTTAATAAACACTTGTTGTTGTCAACATGTCTAGTTATGTAACATCTTTTCCTTTGCCTATAAAAGGGGTTGATTCTGGTAGTTCAGTACCATCTACCTTTGAGGCAACATCTACTGCTACACTTCTACTATATTTTAATTATTATTTATAAAATCTCTATTAAATATAGTTCATAAGTGTACAATGGCCATAAATGAAATATTTGAAAGTCAGATTTTAGGTTGGGAAATAGTTAGGAAAATAGCTATTGAGACATACTTAGGAGGGTCTCATCTAAGGGTTAGGGGCATTGAAAAAGTTTAGGCAAAACAAGAGCAAGGTTAGTCTAAGGGTAAAATCCTTATTGATTGAGCAGCCACTTTCCTGAATTTGTATCAATTTGTAGAATAATGAATAAACATTTTCTGTTTGTTATTACTCTGACTATCTAAGGGATTATCTTTTACCTTGAATAGATTTTGCTCAGTAACACATTCGCCATATATCATATCTTTTAGACTTATTTCACATATCTAATGGGTTACGGGTTCCACTGAGAGTATTAACTCTTTATACTTGGTCAATAGTTGCTTCGAGCATTTACCATCTTTCACAATAATGTTTGTGTCACATATAATCTGAATAGATTTGTGTTGTGTACAATAATTAATTGTTGTGAGGTCTCCCAGCCAAGTGTGTTCCTTTCTCTTCAGATAAAACTGTAGGTAACTGAGGTGTGATAGGACTTAATAAAGTTATCAGCCTATTCCTCCGCACAAATGCTCTACATAACATTCTTGAGAGTGGGTTAAAAGTTTCTTGCAAGTTGACGAAATTTCTGTCAACTGATTTTAGAAATACTGCTGTTCTCACTGCATCCTTAATATTTATGGGTTTTTCCATGTGCCCTTATTCTGCTTTGATGATTTTTATTTTCATCTCTTTTTCCTCTTCTGATTTTGCAACTCTTTCTAGTAGGGGATATCCTAATTTTCTTTTAGCCAACTTAAAAATTAATAATTGTTAATTATGAAGAAAATATATTGAGAAAGTTGAAAGTTGTCTTCTATATCTTCCAAAAGAATTTATTACTTCAAAATTTCACCAAATCAAGAAAGAACTTTTAGAAAAGAATATGTACAATGATCTTGTGGAACACATTCAAAAAACTTGATTGAAAAATTTGGAAGCCAAAGTTTTGGTCTGTCTACCAACTTGTTGTCAAAACAAACAATAATGTTGAGAGTTGGCACATGAAATGTTTTGGAATCCCTAAAAAGGTTTGTACTGTTGCATTCAATAATATTTATATATTCATTAACTGTTAATTCATAAACTAAAGGAAAAGATTATTGTGATTTTTCCACACATAAAAACAAGACCATGTCAACATCAGTTGGCTAAATTGTCGGGAAATTTTATATTGCACAACAAGATTCAGCCTATCATAAAAAAATTTAATATTCAATCTGACTTGAAAAAATGGAAAGGAGCTGTAAAAATGGAAAAAAATTAGAAAATGTCAACATCCTTTTTTTTAAAGTGAAATCTTCTCCAAAATTTCTAATTGCTCTAATTTGTTCATCATTTAAATGAATACCACGTACAGAAATATATCGACAAGTGTTTGATGATCTTTGAAGTCCTTCATAAATATTCAAAAATTCATTTCTCATGCATTCATTATGTGATAGATTAATTGTTTCTATTTTAGAACAATGTTTAAGCAAATTTCCAATCTCTGTACTGTTTTTCATTAAAACAACTGTATTCTATTCTTTCTAACTGTAATGTGTTGGTCATCTAAATCACAGGAACTGAAATTAACAACTTTCAAAGTTTTGGATGACATTTGAAGTCCTTCACGAATATTCAATAATCTTCCATATTTCTATTAAACGATAGATCAATTTTTTCTATTGTAGAACAATGTTTAAGCAAATTTTGAAACTCTTTACTTTCTTCTGTTTGTAAATCACAGCAATCCAAATCAAAATTTTTCAAAGTGCTTGATGATGTTTGAAGTCCTTCACAAATATTCAAAAATCCATTTCCCATGTGAACATTACCTGATAGATTTACTGTTTCAATTGAAGAATAATGTTTAAACAAATTTCCAAGCTCTTTACTTTGTTCTCTATTTAATTTAAAGAATCTGATATTAACATCTTTCAAAGTGCTTGATGACCTTTGAAGTCCTTCACAAATATTTAAAAATTCATTATTGTGGATAGGATGTGTTGTTTGCTTTGTGAAACTATGCTTCAGCCAATTTCTTTGTACTGTGTCCTTCATTCAAATCAGCACAACCTGAACCAATATTTTTCAAAGTGCTAGATGACTTTTCAATTTCATTTTGTTGAAGTTGATTGATATCCCTTTTTTTTGGGAACCGGTTGAAAGGGTCCGCAATTGAAAGGGTCCACAGGCTGATTGAAAGGGTCCGCAAGAAAAGTAAAAAGACTTGAAAATGTTTTTTCTTATGAAATCATAAAAAAAGAAAAGAAATGAAAAAGATAACGAATGGCTAATTTGTAATAATTTATTTTGTTTCAAACTGATAAAGTAAATGAAAATTTGTTGATTAAATTTATGTCAATTTGAAAAGTATAACTTGGAACAAATATCTAAGACTTCTGAACATGTTATGTGCCCAATTTTGAAATTTTCCCATATATCAAAAATCTTCTTTTGCAGATTTACATAAATCAATTTTTTTTCAGACAGCATTTTTTGTATTACTGGCACAAGATCAGCTTCTCTTTTTAACTCATCTAGAAGATTATAAAATGATTTGCTGTTTCCAACATTTAAATTCAATCTGTTAGGAAAACCTTCCACATCATTGTTGGTTCTTATAGCAACATCAAAAACAGACCATGAAGAAGGTGGCCATATATAAGTATCTATCCATGTGTTTTCTATATAATTAATCAAATCACCTAGTTTCCTAATGCTATTAAAGTACTCTTTTATTTTGTTAAATTCCTGTGGAATGATATTTGGAGGTAGAAATGGCAAAGCCATTAAAGTTCTCATTTCAGCATATTGACCTGTGTGATTTTTGTAATCTGATGCATATCCTAGTTCCTTTGAAACAAACAAAAAAATTAATATTATACATTTTATTATTAATTTTCAATATCACTTGAATTTTTCTGAAGACTGCTTGGCTCCAATGGAATAAACAACCTTTTGATTTAGCTGCAGGAAACAATTTTGAGACTGCTTTCCAAAGTGCCTTCTAAAAATCCATTCTTATGGTT